CAACCCTGCTTGTCAGTGTCACCAGAGTGAGCTGTTACACAAGCCAGCTGCAGTGGGGCAGCAGCTTAGGAGGCTGAAGCAGGGGGGATTGCAAGTTCAAAGCCAGCCTYAGCAACTTAGCATGATCCTAACGTAACTCAGCAAGACCCTGTCTCTATATAAAATATACAAAAKGGATGGGGGATRTGGCTCAGTGGTTAAGCACCCTGGRTTCAATCCCTGCTACCAAAAAAAAGCACATCAGCATTTATCCTTAAGGCTTCTGCTCAATAGTGGTAGAGTGCTTGCCTAGCTTGTAGGGGGCCACGGGTTCAATCCCTAGCACTGGGAGGAAAATAATCTGCCTGCTTAGATCTGGGCTCTGGTCCACCCTATGTGAGTCTTGTCGTGGCCAACACTGTTTCCCTCCCAACTGGAGAGAGTCCTTGCCCTCTTGGCCTCAGTGGGGTCAAAGGAGCATTAAAAGAAGGCTTCCAGGGGCTGGGATTGTGGCTCCGTGGCGGAGTGCTTGCCTAGCATGTGTGAGGCACTGGGTTCAATTCTCAGCACCACATATAATATAAATAAGTGAATAAAATAAAGGTTCATCAACATCTAAAAATATATTTWAAAAAAAAGCTTCCATTGGGCACAGTGGCACACGCCTGTAATCCCAGCAGCTCATGAGGCTGAGGCAGGAGGATCGTGAGTTCAAAGCCAGCCTCARCAATTTAGCAAGGTGCTAAGCAACTCAGGGAGACCCTGTCTCTAAGTAGAGATAGGGCTGGGGATGTGGCTCAGTGGCTGAGTGCCCCTGAGGTCAATCCCTGATAAAAAAAGAAAAAGGGGGAGCTTCCTAGTGTGACACTAGGCTCCTTGAATGGGGCTCTTTGGGCAGTCCTGGGAGTCTGGGCCCAAAAGGACAGGGGCTGGGGTCAAAGGGGCTCTGCCCTGGGTGACCATGTGCCCCTGCAGGTGTGGAAAGCAGTGGGCTGGAGACTGATTGCCCTTTCCTTCGGGCTGTATGGCCTCCTCTACGTCTATGAGCGTCTGACGTGGACCACCAAGGCCAAGGAGCGCGCCTTCAAGCGCCAGTTTGTTGAGTACGCCAGTGAGAAGCTGCAGCTCATCATCAGCTACACGGGCTCCAACTGCAGCCACCAAGTCCAGCAGTAAGCCRTCCCAGGGGCCTGGGGAGGACTCCGCTCCGGGTGGGTCAGCCCAGTCTTCCTTCTAGTGGGTTGAGTGTCATGGACCCTGGGTCTTTAGCCGGGCAGTGCCAGCTCAGGCCAGGGTAGGGACAGAGGTCTCAGGACATAGGTCTCTGGTCTCCCAAGGAATGAAGAAGAGGGAAGAGGAGTTTTTTAAGGTTGTCCTGGGGAGGTGACTGTGGGTGTAGCTTTGAAATCCTAGATGGCAGCCTATTCTTCGCGGCACCTTGGGGTTGGGGCCTGCTGCCTGCCCTGGGCTGGTAGGGGGTGGGCGTGCCTGYGTCCTCCTCTCTTGCTGTGTGGCAAACATTTTGCTAGTCATTTTGCACCTAACTTTTTGTTTACTTTTCTAATCTTTGAGGTAGATAAAATTATTGGCGTCTCCTTTTTCAAAATAAGGAAACACATTTGAAGAATAGTCCCTTGTTCTAGGCCACTTGGCTGATTAGCGGCAGAGCCAGGCTCTGAATCCCAGCGCTCTTGCCCAAACCGTGACCTCTGCTCTGTGCTGCCACTTCTCATGGCCATGGCAATAACAAGGGGCTTGGTGTTAGGGTCAGTCACATTTCAACAGAGGATAGGAAAGACTCCACCCAACTGGGACGGCGCTGCCGGCAGGGTGGGGGCAGGCCCAGTGGCAGCCCACCTGGAGTGGCCTGGCCACCAGTGGTGTCCTGCTTGACAGCTGCATGCCCAGTGACCCCACCTTTCTCCCTCAGGGAGCTGTCTGGGACCTTTGCTCATTTGTGCCAGCAAGTTGATGTCACCCGGGAGAACCTGGAGCAGGAAATTGCTGCCATGAACAAGAAAATTGAAGTTCTCGATTCACTTCAGAGCAAAGCAAAATTGCTCAGGTAAGGTGCTGGGGCTCCGCTGCTGTCTCTCAGGGACACAGACCTCTCTGGAGGGACCTTAGCCACACGTGTTAGATGTCTGCCAAGCACTGCTGAGTGCCAGGCTCAARACAGCATCACTGCCTTTGAGGCACCTGTAGTTGGGGCAGGACATGGTGACCTCCTAGGAAGGAAGCTGAAGGGGACCATGTGATGGCCGTTCCTGGGCACCTGTGGGCAGTGCAGTACCTCAGCACTTCATGGCTGCTGTTTCATGAAGCCGCCACTGTCCCCTCAGGCATGTGTTGGTAGCTCCATTTCTAAGCAGGACACTGCCTGTAGAGGTTAGTCCTGGTCTGGGCCCCCACAGGAAATGGTCGGGCGAGGCGGGGCCCAGTTGTGCATGGTGGTAGTAGCCTCCATGCTGGGTGCTGATTTTCCATGCACATGCTAGACTGCCACCGGTGTGTGGTCAGGGTTTCTGAGCCCAGGAAAGGGGTGTGCTACCACATTCACCCACAGGGCAGGATTGGAACCCAGATTTCCAGGTGCTTCACTGAAAGGCAGAGCTCCCATTAGCAGTTTTCCGGAAGGAGCATCAGTCAGAGGAACCAGGGGTCCTAGCTTCTGGCCCAGCACTCAGCTTCCCTGTGACTCACTGTTTTCATCTGTGAAGTAGGAGTAGGAGCTCACGGCAGCCACAGCTGAGGACGAACGTGCCTTGCGTCAGTCCTTGGCTGGTGCGGCCCATGATAACATCAGCACACAGGGACCCTGTACTTCCTGCCCTCGCCCTTGACATCAGAGGCCTGTGGGGCGGCAGAGCCAAAGGGGTGGCACTTCAAAAGGTTTCAGCTCAGGCCCCCCTCACTGGTGGCGGACTTTCCCTTGCCGTGTAGACATGTGCCTCCCCATCCACCACCCCGGGACGTCATCTCCCAGGGACATGCTCCTCTCTGGAGTGCAGGAGGGGGGGCGCACTCTGCTGCTTTTCAAAGCCAAGGACAGGGTCGCTGCAAAGGGCCACAGATAGTGCCCCATCTTCTTGCTCATTAGCAGACACGCTGACTCCAGCAGCTCAAGGACTTGCCCCAGGCCGCACAGCAAACATGGGGCCTGAGAGGCAGAAAAGCCTGACTCCACTCCGTCACTGGGGATCTTAGCAAGTCATCTCCCTCTCTGGGCCCCCTTTCCTCCTCTGTACTGGGGGGTTGATAAGGGTATTGGAGGATTAAATGAGGCTGCCAGTCACTTGTCATTGCATGTAGCTAGTGTCACTGTTACCTGTCCACAATTGCCATTGTTAAAAATGACTATGTCTTTGCAGGAATAAAGCTGGTTGGTTGGACAGCGAGCTCAACATGTTCACGCACCAGTACCTGCAGCCAAGCAGATAGTGGGCGGTTGGAGCAGTGTCCTCGTGGGGAAGGCGCTGTCACCACCCTTGGCACGGTGGGCTCCCTAGGCACGTCAGCTCCGGTCCCTGGCCACCCGAGAGAGTGAACGTATCCACTGTCTCATACCGTTTTGAGCCCTTCAGCACTAGTTATGTCCCCTCCCCTGACCTGCTGCTGCAGGAAGGTCCCCTGGCTCTGACCCCTACAGGAGATTTTAATGATGACCAGACTGCATGGCATCTGGAGTCACAGCCGGGCCCTTCTCTGCTTCATCAGGTTCACTTGATGAAAATCATTTGCTTGATAAGTTCTCGGGTGTCAGTCTTGCAGGATGACTGAAGCCTTCGAGGGCATCAGGCAAGCACCCACCTTCCTCCAGCTCGTGCCACCTGCCCTCCTTGCAYCCCAGCTATCCTGCAGAGAGAGGCCACATTGAGAGTGACTGGAATTCCTTCCCAGAAGCATTGGAAATGCTCCTGGGAGTCTGAGTGTCCCAGAAGGACTTGGGGCTTATGTTACCTGGTCATTTGGCTTCAGTGCTCTGTCCGCTTGCAAGCCTTTCAGATGTGTTGGTGGCCACGCTTGGCAGCCCTGGGCTATAGACTGAGGCTGAAGGCAGGGCAGCACTACAGAGCCAGTGGGGGATGGGGGGAGCTCAGAGAGGGAGTGTGGAGGGGTCTGACGCTGGTGACAGTGACKCTGTCAGAGCAGGTGGCCATCACCCCAAGGAGGAGGGACTTGCCTCTCTTCTTGGGATGGCGTTCCTCACTTTGGATTTGGTCCTTGGCCTGCATAGTTTATTTATTATTGATGGGAGCTGGTTTGGTCCAGGTGGTTACAGGATGGTGGGAGGTGGGGCCTTGGTGGCAACYGAGAAGAAAAGGCCCTGCCCGGGAGGCTGGGGAATGTAGCTGGTGCAGAACAGGGGCCTCCGCTGACCTTGTTCTGAGAAGCTCCTGAGCCTGAGAGCCCTACCCTACTAGCTTGGTTGCATCCCCTGCCTTGCCCCAAGCCACCCACCTACCCTCTGGCCTGTTTCCTGTGCCTGCGACTCTGCAGTTGGCCACAAGATAGYGCGGGAGACCCAGCACCCTTCCTCCACTCTCCCTGACCCTCAGAGCTGACACACTGGTTTCACCTTGATTTTGAGAAATGTTCCCTGCCCTTGAGTTTTGAGGTTATTACTGGTTAAAGTGGGGAAGTTCCTGTCACCAAGGTGTTAATGCAAGAGCAGGTCAGAGACATCCCAACAAACCTGCACGGCGAAGCCCAGGRCAAGGCTTGGCAAGGGAAGCCTTGTCCTGTTGGTCCATCCAGCCATTGCCCATGTAGTTGGTGCAATGAGGAAAAGGAGTTGGTGGGTGACCACACGGCTGATGTCTTTTCCATGTCCTTGCTTGTCCTTCAGCCCCTCAGTCACTTTGAGGGACAAAATGATGGACTTGGGCCAATGTCGGCATGTGGTAAGGTTGTTCTGAGTGTTTTGCCAGGCCTGGGCCCACAGGGTCACCTCCCAGGGAGTCAGGAAGAATCAGTGTCACACAAACCTATGAATTTTGTGTTCTTTTTTGAAGGGGAAAAAAAAAAAACAAAACTTTTTTTCAGTGTAGCCCCTGGGGGATAAATGAAATTTTGAGCTTCTTATACAATAAGTAAAATTAAATTCACACCACCGAGGGGAGACGATTTCTGAAGGAAGTGTGGCAGAGGCACTTTAACTAGATGCTGCTAACCTTGTTCTAGTTCATGTTCGTTTCTGGAGCGCAAGGCGAGCTCGACCCAGCGAGTTTTCTCGAATGTATTTAAGGTGTTGTATTTGCCTGAATTCCTCCTGTATCATTGCTGATAATATTGGAAACTAAAATAAAACCTAGTTGGAACCCTGCGTGAGGCCCCTGCCTGGAGCTGGCGGTTGCTGAAGGTTCCTGGCACTGCAGGGCCTTCTGAAGGGACATTAGTTTGAGGGGAAGTTCCCTTTCACTCTTGGAAGGAAACCGATTGGCTCAGGAGAACAAGTGGCAAAACTGGCCTCTAAGCCAGGAAGTGTAGAATGATTTCTTCACAGATTTCTCTATAACTCCAAACCATTCATCTTTCACTTAAAAAGTAGATGACTCAGAATGGCCCACCCTCCTTTGACTTCTGAGAATTTCGGTATGACCTTTCCTTCCTCCCTCCCTTCCTAGGCCCTCAGGAATGGATAAGGGTGTGAATGGTGGGCTTCCCTGCCCTTCCASACGCATCCCCTTGACCCAAACACCCGTCTCCCAGGCCACGAACTTGGGGTATCATGCTTGAGTTCACCGTCACACATGCTGTGTCATTGTCTAAATCTGTGGAGGCCCTGACCTTTGTTCACCTTCATCTCGGCCTTCAGTGACTCCCCCAGGCAGCCCCCAGAGTGACTTTTGTATCTAGAGCTCAGCTCCTGCTTTCTGCTCACAGCGCTGCGGTGGCTCTGGGTTCCACCTGGGTCAAGGCCGACATCCTTACCCTGGCCCTGCAGATCCAGCCCTCCACGCCCTTGCCCCTCTGTTTGGCCACACATTTTTTTTTAAAAATATTTATTTTTTAGTTCTCGGCGGGCACAGCATTTTTGTTTCTATGTGGTGCTGAGGAGGCCCTGACCTTTGTTCACCTTCATCTCGGCCTTCAGTGACTCCCCCAGGCAGCCCCCAGAGTGACTTTTGTATCTAGAGCTCAGCTCCTGCTTTCTGCTCACAGCGCTGCGGTGGCTCTGGGTTCCACCTGGGTCAAGGCCGACATCCTTACCCTGGCCCTGCAGATCCAGCCCTCCACGCCCTTGCCCCTCTGTTTGGCCACACATTTTTTTTAAAAAATATTTATTTTTTAGTTCTCGGCGGGCACAGCATTTTTGTTTCTATGTGGTGCTGAGGATCGAACCCGTGCCGCACGCATGCCAGGCGAGCTCGCTACCACTTGAGCCACATCCCCAGCCCCAAGCCACACATTTTTTGTTGTCCTTGCAATTGCTAAGTATATTCCCTTCTGAAGGCCTTCGCCCTTTGCCCTGGCTGACCTTCTGCCTGTCCTTCCCCATGTAGCCCCCGCTAGACTCACTCCTCTACTCCATGGTGAAGTCAACCCAGAAGCCCCTGTGGGAGATCTGCCCTCCTTCCCCTCGGCCTCAGCCTGCAGGTGTCACACAACAGTTGTCACCTAACAGGAAACAGTGTTTGCTTTATTGCCTCCGCCTTCAGAACACATACTGCAAAGAGCTGAGATTTGAGTCTGCTTTGGTTATTCATATCTATCAAGCACCCAGGCTTGTGCCTGGTACAGAATTGAGCTCCAGAAAAGACTTGAGTGACCCTGACATTGTGGTGCACGTTCATCAGCCCTCCGGCACTAGGGGAGAGAACTAGCAACTACTACTGAAACTGGGGGACTCCAGGGGTACTGGGAAAGCAAAAAATGACCAAAATGGGGACAGACCTTTGTTTTTTTTTTTTAAGAGAGAATTTTTTAATATTTATTTTTCAGTTTTTGGTGGACACAACATCTTTATTTTATTTTTTATGTGGTGCTGAGGATCGAACCCAGTGCCCCGCATATGCCAGGCGAGCGCGCTACTGCTTGAGCCACATCCCCAGCCCCAGACCTTTTACTAAGCAGCAGAATCAAGCAGTCAGGCATTGGAGGGGCACATCTTGGGGGGACATGGTGGCAGGCCCCATGGGGGTCTGGGTTTTATGGGGCCTTAGCAGAGCCAGGTCATGGGAGGAGTTAACTTTTGCAGGGCTCACTGGGGGTGGGGCAGGTAAGGGAGTTCCTGGGGTCAGCTGATGGGAGGGTCAGGTTTTGTGTCCTCCCCTTCCTTCCTTCCCTCTGGCTGAGGCCTGGGCTTCTAAATGACAAGAGCTCCAATTTACCACTAACATCTCCCTGCACACAGGGAGGCAGGTAGGGGAGTAGCTGCAGATAGGGGAGATGCGCATTCTCTGTGTCCCTCATGTTATGTACTCAGTGTTTCGCGCACTCGGCTCCATTGTGGAACCAGGCTCAGGGCAGTCGGACCAGCTTAAACCCCAGCTTCTTTGGGCATGGAGCCTGCATTTTAACTAAAATTTTCCCAAAGCCCAGGGGCTTTCGAACTTATTTTTTACTCTGATCCACAATTTTAAATATATTGTGATCCAGTATATGCGCGTGTGTAAGTGAAAGGAAATACTTGGGATTAATCATCATCCTTCTCCTGCAATGCAAGAGTAGCTTCTGTAATTAGCAGGATGCTGTTTACAACTCATTACTCTCAGCAATTCCTAGATGATGGCCAGTTTGAAAACAGCTGTTCTGGCTGGGGTGTAACTCGGTGGTAGTGCTTGCCTAGCATATGTGAGTCCTAGGTTTGATACTTAGCACTGCAAGATAGATGGATAGATAAAAGCTGTTCTCACATGCATGGAGGAAGGATTGTCTCTTTGGGTCAAGGCTTCCTGCCTCTGCTGAGTTGGACTCAGTCTTGATTAAGATCAGCCAGCGCCTCTTGACAGCTTACTTTGTGTCTTTAGATCACCCCCCACTGTTGTSGGAAACAGACCACAGACCCACAGACCGTTGGTAGAGAAGAGAACTCYAAACTTTATTGTGAATGGGTAGACACAGAGGAGAAAAATTTCAAATTCTGAGCCCTCATCCACAGTTTCTTACAACACTTATAGGTTATTTGGTGTCATTTTAGACCTGTCATATATATATATATATATATATTTTTTTTTTTTTAAACCTCTTTTTAAAAAATCTCCTAGGCCTGGTGTGGTGGCACATGCCTATAATCCCAGAGGCTCAGTGGGGAATGAGGTCCTGTATCTGGGCAGGGCCTTCCAGCACAGGGAACACAGAGCAGGCAGAGACCCTGGGGTGGGCACAGAAGCAGCATCTGCCAAGAGCAAAATGAGGGCACTGCAGCCAGAGTGGAGTGAGATCGGAGAGGGGGTGCAAAAGGGAGCTAGTGGCAGACTTGGGTCTTGTTTTCTTCTGAGCGAGGCAGGTGCCACTGGAGAGTTGGAGCAGAATATGAGCCAACTTGGGCGTTTCTGTTTCTGTTTTTTTGTGATACTTGGGTTCAAACCCAGGGCCTTGAGCTTGGGAGCCAGTGCTGTATCATTGAGCGACACCCCAGCCCTCTTCAGTATTTGAGACACGGTCTTGCCATGTTGCTGAGGCTGGCCGGGAATTTGTGATCCTCCTGCCTCTTTCTCCCAAGGCCCAGGGGTTACAGGCATGCACCACTGTGCCCAGCTCTGACTAACATTTTCGTGGGGTCCTGGATTGCTGGGTGGAGATTGACAATGAGAGGACAGATACAAAACAGCCAGCCAGGCAGGACGTGATGGTGTCTTGGACCAGGGCAATTGGGATGGAGGTAGAGGAAGGGAGGTTCCGGATACCTTTTGAGACACCACAGTGTATTTTATTGCTACTTCTTGATGGATGTTGGGATTCACAACGAAGCTGCTGCTGAAACAGACTCCCTCTGAAATTAAGGGCAACTTCCTGATAACTTGTTTTTCTGTGGGATATGAAACAGCCCCTGTTGAGCAGGTTTGGTGGCACATRCCTGTAATCCCAATTGAAGAACAGCCTCAGCAGTTTAGCAAGGCCCTAGGTAACTTAGGGAGACCCTGTCTCAAAATAAAATATAAAAAGGGCTTGGGATGTGGCTCAGTGGTTAAGCACCCCTGGATTCAATCCCTGGGTACCAAATAAATAAACAAACAGAGCCCCCTTTGAAATTAAGCTCAAAATTGTTTCAATTTTAGAACTTCCTTAGCATGAGAATAAAACCTTTCTCCTTCTGAGGACAAACCCATCAGAAGTTGGAAGTCGAGACCCACAGGTTCTCTGGCTAACTAAATCTGCCTGTGTATACTTCCTGAGTCTTGTCCCACAGTCTCTCTATAAAAGCTTTTCTTTCTCTGAAGATAGAGGGATGAGAAAAGTTGTCTGTCTTCTTCAAAGCTGGTTTTAAGGGGCTGGGGGTATGGCTCAGTTTGGAGAGTGCTTACCTCACATGCACAGGCCCTGGGTTCAATCCCTAGCACCACCAAAAGAAGAGTTGGCTTTGAATAAACATCCCAGCCAAGTTGCCTCTTATTATTATTATTTTAATGAAATAATGGAAAAGCCCTTCCATCTGGGAGTGCTTTTGTGTGTGTGTGGGAGCAGGGGTACTKGGGATTGAACTCAGGAGCACTTGGCCACTGAGCCACACCGCCAAGACTATTTTGTATTTTATTTAGAGACAGGGTCTCACTGAGTTGCTTAGCACCTCACCCTTGCTGAGGCTGGCTTTGAACTTGCAATTCTCCTGCCTCAGGCTCCTGAGCTGCTGGGATTACAGGCATGTGCCACCGCGCCTGGCACTCTTATACAAGACTTGGTATGGACAATCTTTCCCCCTTGGATAAATGCCGGGAATAGAATGACTGCATAATTCAGTGRGTCTGTTTTAACTTTGAAAATAAAAACAAAAGAACAGTACCAGACAGGTAGCTCACACCTGTAACCCCAGCAACTTGTAAGATTGAGGCAGGAGGACTGCAAGTTCAAGGTGAGCCTCGGCAATTTAGTGAGACCTTGTCTCAAAATAAAAAGTAAAAAAGGATGGGAGATGTAGCTCACTGGTAAAGCGTCCCTGGGTTCAATCCCTAGTAACAAAACAACAAAACTCAGCTTTACTGAGGTGTAATTTTCATACCATAAAAATGGTGGAGCTGTACATTTAATAATTTTAATAAGTATACAGAGTTGTGCAGCCATTGCCACACTCCAATTTTAGAACATGCCTGTCACCCCAGAAAGATCATTTGTGCCCTTCTGCAGAATGATGGTTACTTCCTGTTTACATGTTGGACCCAGGGAACCACTATCTCTTTTATCTATAGACTTGCCTTTTCTGGACATTTCCAATAACGGGAATCATACAGCCCGTGATTTTTGACATCCAGTTTTCTTTCTTTCTTTTTTGGTACTGGGGTTTGAACCCAGGGTTGCTTAGACACTTGAGTCACATTTCCAGCCCTTTTTATTTTTTATTTTGATACAGTGTTTTGCTGAATTGTTTAGGACCTCATGAAGTTGCTAAGGCTGGCTTGAACTTACTATCTTCTTGCTTCAGCCTCCCAACTTGTTGGGATTACATATGTCTGCTACCATGTCCAGTTTAATGATTTTAATATTTTTTTATTTTTTTTAATATTTTATTTACATTTTAGTTTTCGGAAGACACAACATCTTTGTATGTGGTGCTGGAGGATCGAACCCGGGCCGCACGCATGCCAGGGGAGCGCGCTACCGCTTGAGCCACATCCCCAGCCCCCAGTTTAATGATTTTTTAAAAATATTTATTTATTTATTAGTTATTGACGGACACAACATCTTTGTTGGTATGTGGTGCTGGAGGATCGAACCCCCGGCCGCACGCATGCCAGGCGAGYGCGCTACCGCTTGAGCCACATCCCCAGCCCCTGTTTAATGATTTTTAATGTGTAGATCTCATGAAATTTTTGTCAGGGTTTCCCCTAAATATTTCATTATTGTATTTCTCAATGCAAATGGTGTTTTGTTTCAGTACTGGGGATTAAACAGGGCATTTGTAGTACTGAGCTATGTCTCCAGGCTTTTTAAATTTTTTATTTTTAGATATGGTCTCACTAAGTGGTCCAGGCTGGCCTTGAGCTTCTGATCTTCCTGCCTCAACTGCCCCAGTTGCTGGGGATTACAGGTGTGTGCCGCTGTGCCTGGTATAAATGGTGTTTTAAAAATTTCAACTTCTAATAATATACAGAAATTCAATTTATTTCTGTATATCAATCTTATATCCTGCAACCTTCTAGAACTCATTAACAAGTCCAGTGACATATTCCTAGATT